AGTTGAAAAGAAGATGTCACCCTGCATTGGTAGATGTATTTTCCTCATCTAAGAGTTTCCTTTACTGATAAAATCATAAGTTTAGTCCCTCTCCCATTCTTATTCTAACATTCTCCTAGGTAGAAAAAACAGAGTTGAAATAGGAATTGAGTAGTTTTGCTTTCTGTCATCTCTTATCTTCTTTTCCATGACAAGCCTGGGACCTTGCTTGACCTTAGGAAGTGGGATGGAGTTAGTAATTAAGGGTTAATGAACACTGATATGATGGAAAGAATTTTCCTGGAGAAAAAAGGGCACAATCTTTTAAGCTAGATGGAAACCATAGTTAATGTAAAAGAGCATGTTTTGCAAGAATGAATGAATAATCAGCACTCTATGGTTTGATCAAAAATTACATTCAACTGGCTAGAATTACTGCTTTCAAGACCAGATTGATTACACAACTGTGTGTGACCTATATGAGGAGAACTTCTCTACCTAAACAATGCTCAAAGCATCACCAAAGTCTGGGTACTTCAAAGAAAGTTCTGGCTTAAGGTCTAATATTAGTCCACAGTCACAGCATACTCTGGGGGTCAAAGGACCCCAAGCACTACGGAGAAGAGGTAGGGAGGAGATTATATTCAGACTCAGTACTTCTCAATCCCCAATGCGCATATACTCAGTCCCACCTGGGCATGGTCTTCTTAAACATTAGACCAGAAAAGTAGAAAGCAAACCTGTTGTTTCAACTCCAGGCTAATTCCATAAAGATTATAAAACCCCTTTGGTTCTTTCTGTTTAAGTGTTCTGGCGAAAGGCTACACTAGCATGGATAAATGTTCAATGCACTCTCTTAAACTATTACCTGAGAGCCAGAAAGATCAATCAGTCATTGAATAAGCATGTATTAAGTATTCACTGCATGCTAGGCAACGTGCTAAGCCCTGAGGATACAAAGAAAGGCAGACACAATCTAGTGAGATGAAGTGGTTTTCCCAAAGTCACACTACTATAACAAACAGAGTCAAGGTTCAAACCCAAGTATTCTGTTTCCAAATCCATCACTTCTCCACTGTACCAGACTGCCTCTCTTTTCTTTGAAGACAGTGAGCACAAATTTCACACTTCTTAGAGACATTTGCCACTATCTTGGGCCTGTAGAACCTGCCACACCGGCTCCAGAATCTTCTCCTGGCTTGGTTTTCCAAAATCATGCTGAAGTGCTCTCATATCTGTGAGTTGGTAGCTCCAACACTGCATAGCTTTCATAATTTTTCAAATGTACCTAGGTAAGGAATATTGGTGACTTTTCAAGGTCAATACTCACCTCTTGGTGAGGGACTATGTGTCTCACATAGTTAACAGAAGCTCTACAAAAATAGTCCTTGTCTGAACTAGAATTGCTATGTAATGCTGTCTATTAGTTAATGCTACATCATAGAATCATAGAGTTAGAAGAGACTTTGTAAATGGTTTAGCCCAACCCCTCTCATTTTTTTTTAGGCAATTGGGGTTAAGTGACTTGCCCAGGGTCACACAGCTAGTAAGTGTCAAGTGCTTGGTCTGAGGCCAGATTTGAACTCAGGTCCTCCTGACTTCAAGGTTGATGCTCTATCCACTGCACCACCTAGCTGCCCCTCCAACCCCTCTCATTTTATTGATGAGGAAACTGAGGCCCAGAGGAATAAACTGATATACCCAAGGTTAGAGATTCAGTTACTGGCAGAGTCAGTACTAAAACCCAGGCTTCTTTCCTCCCTTTCCTTGAGAAGCACTGGAGTTTTGCCCACAGCTCCATTATAAAAAGACCATCTAAAACCAACCCATTGGAAACATAAAGCACAACATCAAATTCATTCATGCTGAGATCAAGAATGAGAATGAAAATAGAACCTTTTGTCCTTTCAGTGATTTCTTCCACTATATTCATCCCAAGAGCACTTAGTCCTTGTTATAACTGCAGAAAGAATGGCAGCTACACAGCCCATGGGGACCAGAGAGAATTCTCCTTTCTTGGGTGTTCCATATCCAAGCCAAAGAAGGTAGCTCCTCGAACACTGAACCTCTACTTTTCCTTCCCCTCCACAGCCACAGGCACTCAGGGAAAAAGCCCTGAATATGGCCCTGCGTTCTTCTCTAAGACAGATGTAAATACAGTCGGACAACGGAGCTCTGGCTTTGTTAGAGTGGTCCTAACTTACAAACGGGTTTATTCAAAAGGAAGTTTTTCTAAGTCAGTTGCCTTAAACACAGAACACATTTTCCCAGAGAAACAATGTCAGAAAGGATCATTATTTTCCAGCCTACAAAAGCTAATTCACCCTATGATGTAGCTGAAGCATAGTGTTGATAGTACTCTAGAACCTATCATCCAAATAGCATGGTTTCTATTGGAAATCTATTTCCCAGGGCTGTTGTAAGGATAAAAAGAGATAATATTTATAAAGCACTTTGCATACCTTAAAGTATATATGAATGCTAATGTTGTTGTGGTTACTATTATTGAATGGTCATTATTGTTCAGTTGTTTCAGTCATGTCCAACTCTTCGTGACCCCATTTGGGGTTTTCTTGGCAAAAATCCTGAAGTGGTTTTGCCACTTCTTTCTCCAGCTGATTTTACATATGAGGAAACTGAGGCAAACAGGGTTAAGCGACTTGCCCAGGGTAACGCAGCTAGTGAGTGTCGGAGACCAGATTTGAACTCAAGAAGATGGGTCTTTCTTCCTTCAGGCCCTACACTCTATCCACTGCACCACCTACTTAAACTTGAATACAGATCTGAGTTACCAGATTTCCCAGCTGATCAACAGGATTTTGAAAAACCATGACATTCTCAACCCATGTGCCTTCGTGTACAACGCTAGACATACACCATATCCATTTCTTGGACATTTGAAAAAGATACTCTTCCCATCCGAACAAGGTACACTGCTTCCCTCTGTTAACGGAGAGGCATCCACCTAGGCTGCATTCCTGGAGTAAACTGACTGATTGACAAAGACAAGTAGTCCAACTCAGAATCAAAATTGTGTTCACTCTTGTTCCCCCTCCTTGTAAATGGGGCAGTAATTTCAAGTAAATGACATGGAAAGCTGTTACAAGCCGGCCCCACATTCACATTTCACTGTTTCTCTGGTTGTAAATAACACGCATGACTGCGCCAAGGACCAAATTGCTCTTTAGCTGCCAACATTAGTTGTTTAATGATCTAAAGAGCAGAAGCTGACAATTACTGTATTCCATTTTCAAATGTCATTTAAAACCCATACATGTAATTATCATACCTTTTTGTTAAATTTTTATGGTTCTTCTGAAGTTGATGGGTTTGTGGGTTCGTCTAACCTATAAAACTCAGTAAATATTCAATGTCTTCATTATAGAACGAAATTACTTTCCCATGATCCCGTATGATCTTTCATGAAGCTGGACATTAGTAAATATCAGAAGATCATAGATTTAGGGCTAAAAGGGACCTTAGAAGCCTTTACATCAGAACTGAGGCCAGAAAGATTGAGTGACTTGTCTAGAGTGATATGGCAAGTAAACATCTAAGGCAGAATTTGCACTCAGGTCTTCCTGGCTCTAAGTCTACCACTCTATTCACTATACCAAGGGTTTCTGTTGGAATGGCTTCCCTGATCTTAGTGCAAAGGTTATTCATCTTTTTTTGTGTGTCATGGATCCCTTCTCAGAATAATATTTTAAATGCATAAAGTATGTAGTATTACAAAGGAAATCAATTATAAAAATTTTTTTTAACACATTCACAGATCTTAGGTTGAGAATCCTGAGCCATTAGGGTTAACAGGGGGCTAAGTCACAAGACCTGAGTTCTAATCATGCACATGCCACTAATTTAGTTGACCTCAGGCAAGTGACTTAATCTATCTGTGACTCAGTTTCTTTATCTGCCAAATATAATAGGCTAGCTAGATGGTACATAGAATAGAGCACTGAGTCTGAAATCAGGAGGACTCATGTTACTGAGTTCAAATCTGGCCTCTGACACTTATTAGTTGCGTGACCCTGGGTAAGTCACTTAACCCTGTTTGCTTCAGTTCCTCATCTGTAAAACAAACTGGAGAAGAAAATGGCAAATCACTCCAGCGTCTCTGCCAAGAAAACCCCAGATGGGCTCACAGAGTCAGAAATGACTGAAATGGCACAATATGCTCCCGTGATTGATCCTGAACAAAGACAAAGCTCAACTGACAGCTACCTACTTCACAGAGTTTTTGTAAGGATCAAATAAAATACTGCTTGTGAAAGCACATTGTGAAGCATTATGCAAATGGAAAGTAGCATGTTGTTTTCAGAGTGCCTGGTTTGTGGACATTTTGAAATATACTGACTAGTAATTATCAAATGAGGAGGATGTGTAGTCTTTGAATATTCAGAATGGAAGTACACACTTATAAGAGCTACTCCCATCTCCATGAATGGCCTTCTCAATAGATATATCTCTTTAATTTATGATGCCTTCCCTTCTCCATCTGTAAAACAGGAATGATATCATCAGATCACATTAATTAAGAAACCACTAGGTACATGACGCCAAGCTAAGAGATGCAAGGATGATGCACAATACATGCAGAAATACAGTTCCTGCATCTTTAAGAAGCTTCAGTTGCAGACAATAAACAAACAAAAGAGTGAAGGAGTGAGTGAGCAAATGAAGGAATGAATAAGCAAATAAATAAATAAAGCTAATAACAACTTTGTGTATGCACACTCACATCCAATAAATAGTTATGCCTTAGTAAAGGATATGTGCTATTTCTACATCTCTTTAATGGGGTGAGGCTATGTAAACATAAGATTCCATTGAAAGTGCTTTGAAATCTTCAAGTCAATAGCAGCATATAAGCAAATCCCACTCAAAACCGAAAATAAAACCAAGTTGTTGAAAAAGCCTAAAGTACAAGCTCAAAGTCTTATCAACAAATACTTTCAAATGAGTCCCCTTAAACGTTTCTTTTCAGCTTCCCTTTACTTTTAATGTCCCAGTCATTTTACCTGAAACAGCAAGCATTTTGGCTTCAAGCAAGGCTGGTATATGGGTCTCGATTTCATTCACTTTCTTCCTCAGAGAGCTGCAGAGTTTCTGACTTGTACAAACCTAAATGGAGGCAGACAGCCAGGATCCATAATTCATTCTAGTAAGTCAAGAACAATCCACTGAAAACTCTGGAGAGTGTCTGAGTTGACAAATGGAACTCAGCATTCTATTACCAAGGGAGCCCAATAGTAACTACTCAAAAACACACAGTGGGCTAGCCCATGACTGAACCCCATAACCCAATAACCAAGTTACAAAACCAGAATAGCTTTGAGAGGCTACCTCATCAGGCAGCACACCTAAACCAGACCTCCAATGCCTCTGTTGAATTGTGATGGATTTTAGTTGATGCTATCTGATGCCAAAACCCACTTCCCCCAAAGTATGGATTTTATAAATCGGTCAGGGAATCTCAGTAAAATGTATAGATTTCACCATTAGGATTTTTAGTACTACTCTACACATTGCTTCTATTATTTCTTAGATTTTTAATAAAACAACAAAAATCTTACATCCCAGTTGTTTTTTTCTAAGTTCTCCTCACTTAGTCTTTTTTTTTTTTTAAACATAAGAAGAAAGTCTCATATTCAATCTGCACATATCCAGGTTTCAAGGAGCCAAGTAGGCAAACAAACACTTCTTCAAGTGCACACAATACTGATTGAATAACAATAGATGAGCCAATGGGGGTGTTTTCTCACTGCACAAAAGACACTGGTCTAATGAGAAGCCTTGAAATTAGCAGCTATGCTCTCTCATTAGAAATCTGAGATGTGTTCAAGAGCTAAAATTAGTCCAATTGGGAACGAAAAGCCCTAAACAAATATTTCAGTCCTATTGCATAAAAGAGCCTAGATCTCTCCAGACACAAATATCTCCCATCGTTCTGGTTCTTATGGACAGAAATTGAGATTATTTTTATATAGAAGACGAAACTCTACAATCTTGATTAATATCACCCAATCATTTCCCCCTACAAACTCATGATCTTCTCCACTAATTTTTAGGGAGTCAAAGAACCAGATTGTAGCATCTTCTCCAAAACAAAGCCAGTTCTGGCAGTGTCCAAAACAATACATTTCAGTAACCTTTCAGGGCCCTGAGGTTTCTCGGTGTTACACTACATGGAATTACAATGCAGATGTCCCAGATACATTTGCGCCACCAGCCCTCTCTCCTGGGGATCACAAGAGCCCAGCTGAATCACATTTTACAGTCATTCAGCTAAGAATGTTACTAGGGCAGTTGAGACCATTTCTGTTAACTCTAAAACACTGGCCATAATTCTTATGTCTCATCTAATTTATGTACACTCTTTCTTATTTTAGTTAACAGCCTCTGTTAATCCTAATTGGGTCAGCCACTCCTTTGTTGAACAAATCTATCTTTCAAACTGTCACTGTTAATATAAAATGAGATTTATAAATCTCCTTATTAAATTGCTTACATACTTTCAGTTGCTGCTGGATTAATCTAATCTTCACCAATCTCCAGATAGTCTATTTTCAACTCTTTCTTCCATCTCATTTATCTCTTAATTACTTCAGCTTTGGGCAGGTCACAGGATAGGTGGATAAATGTACTGAGCGGAAGGGATGTTTAAACTCTCCATTAGAAAAGAAATTAGTCATCTCTAACCTAAAGTAGCTATCGAAAAGTAGTCCACCCAAAGTAGTCCAAGGTGAACTTGAAATTACCTAAAATCCCAAAGAATAGAAGACAGAAGGTCCACCTATACAAGGAAATGTATGGCTGAGTCATCAGGTTTTCTCTGGCCATTTTTATAAGCTTACTTAAAATTCCAAAGGACGGAAGACATATATGCCATATATAAAACTTCAGGCCTCTGAGTTGCCAGGCTTTTTCTGGCTTAGAAAAAGAAGGGCTGAGTTGTTTTCTGCCTCCTGAGTGTCCCATGACCCACAAATGAAAATAATGAGTCATATTCAACCATCATTCCAAAGGGGCAAAAAACCAGGACCCAAAACCAAGTTGGTGCAAGTACCCAAACTGGTTCTAGCATCCCACTGACATTTTTCAACTAAAAGTAGACCATAAGGAATATTTGTTCATTCACTTTTCTACATTTACATTTCTCAGAGTCTGAAAGAGATTGAGAAAAAGTGGTTATAACTTTCCTGTAAATTTATGGGAAGCTTTAGTTAAGCTAGGGGCAGGTGACATTTTGTGTGTGTGTGTGTGTGTGTGTGTGTGTGTGTGTGTGTGTGTGTGTGTGTGTTTGTGTGTGTTAAGCCAAATGCAGAGTATTAAGATGTTCAACTCCAAATGCAGGTAAATTCTCCCATCTGTAGGCAGCATAGTACAATGGAAAGAGCACTAACTGTAGAGTCAGAGGGCCTGAGTTCAAATCCTGCCTCTGACATTTACTGCCTGTTTGACCTTGGATAAGTCACATGAGTTCCCTGGTCTGCATTTTCCCACCTATAAAATAAAGGGGAAAAGAGGAGGGAATAAGCATTTATTAAGTGCCTACAATGTGTCAGGTACTATGCTAAGTGCTTTACAAATATTATCTCACTTAATAATGATAAACTAGATTGTCTCTGAGGTCCCTTCCAGTTTGAGGGATAGAGTCTTCCATTCTCAGGAATAAGCTATTTCGCTTTCTGACAATCAGCCTTTTCTTTTCCTGCCTCTTCCAGCCCACTGTCAACTCATATCTAAGACCTCAGAAAAGTGACTGGTGCTAAGGGCTCTGATCGTAACTTAACTTGATGATCATCTACAATCATCTGGTATCACTTCTCAGTTTATCCACAGCTTATTTAGGGATCTTATGCTAAGAATGCTTTTCCAGGGTTTCAGATCTACTCAGAAAATTCAATTCAATAAATATTTATTAAGTCCCTGCTGTTGTCAAACACTGCACTAAGTGCAGTGGATACAAAAAGAAACAAAAGACAGTCCCTGCCCTCAAGGACCTTACAATCTGATAGAAACTGTGCGTATCTTGGAAAATGAAACATTTTCCCATCACTTTAAGAAATTAGATGATTTAACTCACACTTATTGGAAATACTGAATTCTTTCAAGATCAATCCACAGACCTAGAGTCTACTTATAAAAGGTAGACAGAGAAGTTCTCAGACTAACGGAAGGACTGGAAAATGTACTCTACCATTTTTCTGTGTTTGTAAGGATGTCTGAACCCTGCTTTCTTTGTAGGAAAAGTAATTAATTTTTCATAATTGTTCCTGTACCAAAAGTCTTTTAAAGCAAAGGAATTTAATTGTGAACACTAGGTACTTTTTCCCATTTCATAAAATTGGCAGACATTTCTAAAGGGAAGGCCAATAAATCCATTTCTACAGTGACCACAAGCCAGAAACACAACCACAGAGAGCTTTCCTGGCATCTGACTCCTTTAGGTTATCTTCCTGTATTACAAAATGATCTTATTAGGCTAAACTCATCTAAATGAGAGAAATTAATATTATACTATTATATTAATAACTAAGTATTAATTTGCAGCTCATTCTTTTCCTCCTATTTTTGTTAAGGTTACACTCCTGTAAAGATCAGTCAGTTTTTGAAGGATGTAACTGAGTAAGGTAATCTTCTCCCAACCCCAAGGCATCTACCTGGGCAAGCAACCTTATTTTTTGTTTGCTCTGTAAATAAAAGCCAGCCTCAGCTGCATCTCTTAACCAAGATATGTCTCCTTGTCCTTGGTCCCCTCCATTAGAGTTTAGAAAGACCCAGTTCATGAAGGAGAAAACCAGCTGGAGAGATCCAGATGGAAGTGGCTTCCCCTGCCCAGATGCCTTGAGCCTCCTGAGAATTATGATCAAGCTATGTTCTTAGCAGGAGAAGCTAAAGACTTCTAGCCATCTTTTCATTAAATGTCCACCAATCAGGGTTGAGTTTCACTTGTCAGGGGAGTTCCCTGTCAGAAAGTACACACTTGATTTAAGGTGTTTCAGAGTCTCCTTTGGTGTCTTTGATTACTGAGAGAAAACCACTGACCATCAACTTAGTGATTATTGGCTAGCCTAATTAATAAATTGATTATTAATTACCTAGAAACTCAGTCTCTCAGAATTTTCATTTGCTACACATATTGCTCTGACACTCTATGGTCTAGACAAGAAATAGATAAAAAGGGAGACACACAATATATATGTGCATATGTGTGCTCATAAATGTGTGTATATACACACACATATCCTTTCAAATGTCAGGTATATTTTAAGAAAGCAACTTCTTCATATTTTATATGTGGTTAGTAAAAATAATATTTTGAGGAACTTACTTACCTTTGAAGTAGTTTCTTTAATGGTCAAGCTAAGTGATTGTTCCTTCTCTTGGAGGCTAAAAGAATGGAAATAAAATGGGAAAAATGGTCTTCTTAATTAGTCACAGTTCAACACTACCAAACACAGAAATATGATTAAAATATTCAATAAGGAACACTATGGCCCAGGAGTTTGAGTAGGGGTCTTGGAGCCAAGTCAGGAGGATATAGACTCAATTTCTCCCTCTATCATACACTAGCTGTATGACCATGGGCAAATCCCCTTAACCTCTCAGAGGTACCAGATGACTCTAAAACTATAACTTATAGAAAAAATGCAAGTTATATAAAAATTGCTGATCTGCATGGCTGAAGAAGCTTTCCAAATGTGAGTTCCCTACATTGACCAAATCATAGGTTCAAAACAATAATAATAATAATAATAATAATAATAATAATAATAATAATAATAATAATAATAATAATAATGTAAAGTCAATACTCAATAATCTTTCTTGCTAGGTAGAAACAGCAACAATTATCCTACCAAAAATTATTTACATTTGATTTTATAATGAATGTTATGTTTTCTATTATTTGTGCATTTACCTGAATAGCTTAATTAAGCTAATGTTGAAATTAATTTTCATTTTCTGAGCATAGGTCTATTGATGGAGAGAGGAGGCAGGGCATGATGGCAGGGGATAAAACTGAGCTGCATATACAACTCCAGAGTAATAATTAATAATAATAGCTAGCATTTAGATAGCATCTACTACATGCCAGGTACTGTGCAAAGTGCTTTACAAATATTATTTCACTTGACCCTCACAAAAACGCTGGGATGTTATTATCCCCATTTCACCATTGAAGAAACTGAGGCAGACAGAGGTTAAGTGATTTGTTCAGAGCTTCAGAGCTAATAAGTATCAGAGGCTGGCTTTGAACTCCATTCTTCCTAACTGCAGGCCCAGCACTCCATCTTCTGTGCCACCTGGCTGCTCTAAATTGTCCACATGACACAAGTAGTCAACATCAGTGTGGTCAAGAAATGACAAAATTCATCCTTTCCTGGAGGAACCACTTATTCAGTGGCTACTATATATACCTGTGTTTGAGTCAGACCCTGTGGAATATATTAAATATTATAGAATTATATTAAATACGATATGTAAAAGTGCATTACAAATTGAATAGACTTCATAATACATATGCATTATGATAATACAATTATATGCTGCTTTACAGTTTTCAAGAGCAGCTAGTGGCTCAGTAGATAGAGCATTGGGTCTGCATCAAGGTCACACAGATAGCGAATGACTCAAATCCAGGACTCACCAATCTTACGACTCCAAATATGTCGCTCTTTTTATCATACCACATATGAATATAAGGTAATCTTTCTCCTTATCACATCATCATGATCACAATACAAGATCCTTTCTTGAAGGAGATTATAATCCAGCTAGGAAGGCAGATGCATGTAAAAGTGAAATCACAATACACAAGTGTGCTGAACACCCTTCAGTATCTCACTTAATCATCTCCTGCCTCAGTTCCCTCACAATTCCCCGCGCAAATTCAGCCATAGAGAACTCTGGCTAACCACTTTGTGGACTTCCTACACCATTTGCTCCTTGAATCTTTATCAAAAGCTTTAAAAAGGAAGAAGACAGAATTTAAATTTAAATCCAAGTCCCAGCATAACTTAGAACAGGGAGAAGGTTAAAGCTATCGACCCAAGTCACCTCTGGGGCTTATTGTTTATCCCTATTCCTCTTGCAATCAATATTCATCTGTCCTGCAAAGTCTCTTGAAAACAAATTTGCATGCAGTGACTCAGTAGTAGCATTTTACAAAAGCAAGCACAGAATGTCAGAGTTACAAAGCACCTGAGAGGCCTCTTAGTCCAACCCAGACCTGGCCAAAATAAGTCTATTACCTCCTTCCTCATGACAGCCCTTTAAATTCTTGACGTCAGTTATCATTTACAATACCCCCACCCAAAAAAATTGATGCCTTACTGACCTTCACTGCTTTTGTCACATGTTGATGCTCTGACACATCTATCTACTTATCAATGCCGGTACTTCATCTACTCATGCAGACTGAAACTTTTTATCATATGTGATTCGTGTCCATGACTTCCATGTGTTAGTCTTTCCTATGTGCTACAGAGTGTTTCTTTATTTAATTAATTATAGCATTTTATTTTAAAACTCTCCCATATACTTATCATGCACTATTGTGTATTATAGTTATCTATACTTGGGCCTTATTCCCTCTTCCAGGCCGTAAGTTCCCCAATGGCTGAGACTAGGTGTTCTCCCTGTCTCCAATCTATTTCTTCTATCAAAACCATCTTCCTAAAGCATAGATATGATCACGTTTCTTCTCTGCTATAAACAAACAGAGAGACAACAATAGATAGATAGACAGATAAATGAATAAATAATAAAACCTCTGGTACATAAATGCCTATCCTCAAAAGGATAAAATACAATCTCCTTAGCTTCAAGCCCTTCCACAATCTGGTTCCAGCCTATTTTTCCAGACCCACTTTATATTATTCTCCTTCATGCACTCTACGTTCCAATGAAAACACTCTTATGGCTGTTGTTTACTCAGCCTTCCATTTTCTGCAACTCTGCATTCTCAAAGGCTCTCCCTCATGCCTGGAAAGTACTCCCTCTGACCTCTACCTTTTAAAACTCTTATCTTCCTACAAGATTCAGTGCAGATGCCAGTTCTTCGGGATGGCTTCCCTGATCTCTCATGTTGAACGGGTTCACTCTCCTCAAATATTCCTTGACCACGTTGTCTGCATCTCTTCTTTGCCCCCATTGCTCCTTCTTTTGCCTCACTCTTATCTATACCTATTATATCCCTACAAGTACAAAAGAGCTCCTCAAACGCAGGGACAGACTAGATGATATTTTATCTTGGTATCCATGACCTAACACAGTTCCTGGAGCATAGTAGACATTTAATACATGGTTGCTGAATTGAATTGCTGCTGAATAGAATACTTCTTTGAGTAAGTTACTTTTAACTGAGGTGGCCTAAAATAAGCACTTAACACCTAACTGTAAATAACCTTTCACAGGAAACCACAAAGAATAACTCATACACTAAGAACAGAAACAGCTAAATAATGGACCTATCTGTTTAGAAGCACTTGGGTGAGGAAAGCATTCATTGTACTGAAGATCTCACGAACCAAAATAGTATCTTTAGCATGCCTGCACACTAAAAACAACATCAGACCCTACAGAGAGCCCACACTTTGCCCTCTGCTTTATCCCTAGTGGGGATGTATGTTACATGTATCTGTCGGCAGGAGGATGGAGTTGAGTGGGGCAGGGTCCAAGTCCAATCCTGGAAAAGTGACCACTCATGAGAATTTGTACCAGTCTGCTTATGCCCACTCTCAGGGGTCTAACATGACTCTGCTGGATAGTAAAAATTGCCAGGGAATGATGGTACCCTTTTAAGTTTTTCACCCTTGAGACCTGATGGTCAGAGGATGAAACTTTGACAGCCATTGTTGTTGTTGAGTCATTTTAGTCATGTCTGACTCTTCATGACCTCATTTGGGGTTTTCTTGGCAAAGATACTGGAGTAGTTTGCCATTTGCTTCTCCAGCTCATTTTACAGATGAGGAAACTGAGGCAAACAGGGTTAAGTGACTTGCCCAGGGTCACACAGCCAGTATGTGTGAGGTCAGATTTAAACTCAGGAAGATGATCATATCAGATGACAACTATATTAGCTTCCATTTGTTGGAAATGTTGAGAAATAGTATAGATTGCATACCAACACAAAGAATTAGAAATAAATCCAGAAAAAGATGGTCCTCTTTTCAAGTATTTCCTTTTGTAGGGTAGTGAAACAATTCCATTGTACAAATAGTAAAACAAGGACAAACATCATATTATAGGGACAGTAATCACTGATGAGAACAGTAACCAAATAAGTCTGGCAAGACTCAGATCTGAAGGATTTGAACACCCTCTCAGGTGTTCCTTTTACCCTATCGGGCCCTATCCCTGAAGACAAACTAGTCACTTCCCAAGTAGACATGTTCATGGAGGGAGGTATTAATAGAGATGACCCAGAGATGTATTTTATATTTGATTCTAAAATACTGTGCAAACTTTAAGAGTCCGACAAAATCATGAGTTATTTAGATTATACTTGGTTGATTGTCAAACTATTTGATTTATGCTAGGCTACTTTTAGTAGGTTTGCCTTCCTAAGTTTGCTTTGCTTAGCCTAACATTTACATTAGGTCATATTTCTTCTGTTCACACTAACTGAAGGCAACAGGAGGTAGTCACAAAGCGTGAGGTAGATTGTTCACAAACTGGATAATCCCAAAGTGGCTAACCTAGATTTGAATGTATTCAATTATGTCAAAAATCTGTGTGTACCTTCTAAACCTGTGACAAAAATGCAGTGTGATTTCATATCAGCTTCTCTAATTAGGTGTCCTAATAGAATTGTCTGTATGAGATTGGACTATAAAATCTTGAGACTTATTTACTTTTAACCTGGAGCTATACATTTAAATAGGCTTTGCTTTCAAAGTTGTCACTTGGGGAGGCTACACACTCATTTTAACAATACCAAAATTGTTCAAATAATTTTGGAGAAATCTTCTCTGTACTTTCTATTAAGACCTGTTTACAAGCCACAACAGAAATTCAATTAAATTACTTTAAAGTCACATTTCATTTTTGACACAAAATAACACTCTCCCGTTTGACTGCCCACTTTATTCACAGATGTGTCTCCAAGTGCCTCTTGGTAGTTACTGAAACTTAAGACCATTGCCAAAAGGCAAGGATTTGCTACCAACTAGAATATTCACAAGAACATGTCTATGTTTTTGGGACATTTCCAAGAGGAGTTTCATCAGAGACAACACAGTTGAAATAAGTGTATAACGTGACCTGTTTTAAAGAGGACATCTTTCATTTGGATATTTAAGTTGTAATATGTTGGGTTTTTAAAAAATCTATCACTTTCATTTATAGCCAAACTTCTTATTTATCAATAAAGAATTGAGTTGATT